TTATCAGCTGGAGGAATCCCCTGGTGTAATTTTGGGAGTCCCTTATACATACTATCAAACCATCTTTGTATTTTATAGTAGCAATTCAGACTCACAACAATGTGCAAGAAGAATGGAATAGTAAAATGGTGATGTTCAGACTATCTCAAGTCTGTGGTGTGCACAGTGTCCAGGTGCTGCCACTGTGCTGGCCTTCCAACTGTAAATATCATCACAGTCGCTCTTTGAGTTTGTCTTTAGGCCACCTCAGTACACAGTTGGGAAGGCATGGACTGTGATCCTTAAAAAGCAAACAAACAACAACAACAAAAACTAAGGTATATCACCTGTCATACAGAAAAGTGTAAAGTCAGTACTTTTTGAGGGCTGATGCTAAAGCGCTGTGTAACTGCAGAGGAGGAAAGTAAACCGTTACAAATGTTGGTCTGCTCTAAATAGCCTTCCCTCTGTCCACACCTGCAAATACCCATTCCTCCTGCAAGCCTGGGCCCCATTGTTTCTGCTTAGGAGTGATCTCCCTTGACATAGGAAACACACTTTTGACACATTCCATACTCTTCCTTGAAGCATGCATCGCAAATACAATTCCACATTTACTTTGCAACTACATGATTAATTGTTTTCTCCTCTGTTACAGTATAGGGAGCATGTTTGACACTGTACACTGTACACTGTACACTGCTACTGTATTACAAAGTGCCTGGCAACTTGCAGGAATTAAATATATTGGCAAAGTAGATGGATACAAGTTTTGTGACAGAATTGGCTTAATTTTATTTTAGTTCTTCTTTATTTCTTCTTTAGAGAATATCTACGTTTATACTATTCCTAAAACATACTGTATTCATACTGTGTCAAGTTGGGTGTTAATGGACTGTTATAAACAAATTATTGCAAGAAAAATATGATGTTACTTGATCACAGAAAACTAAATATCTTTGTGGGTGTCCACAGGTGAGAATCTGAGAGCCACATTCTGCAGTGGTAATTTGAAGCATTGTTTTCTAGGAAGTGCTAGTTGTGTTATGTTGTTTTTTAAGAGCTCACACTAACGACTGGCTTTATTAGCATACCAACTCTGAAGGGAAGCTTACACTGCCATTACTAAAATGAAATGAATTCCTAAAATTTGATTGTGAACACTAGACTCTTAACCTTGGCTATACAAAAATTTATTACCTAAGCCTGAGTACAAGAACATAGAATAATATGATTCCTAGATAATGTTTTAACCAAATACAGAAAGTATGATACGAAAATAACCAACATTAAAAAGAAAGATGGCTTAAAAAAATCCCCACCAAGAGTTTAGTACATTTGGTACAACTCTTCAGTGTGAAGGAGCTGTGACTTATCCAGCAACAGACTGTTTCGACTTGTGTTTTACACTACTTGTTACTATGCTAAGAGGAAACAGTTCTTTTCCACTTAATGCATGTTGGGAATGAATGAGTGTGTGTTCCATCTACGTAGATGACAAAGTGGAAGGGAAGGTACCATGGAGATGTTTGGCCTGTGCCCTCAGATTTGCTTGCCAATGTAAATGATCTTCTTTAGAAATTTGTTTTTAATTTATCAATGCATTGCTTTAAGTATAAGGCAACCCTCAGTTGGATTATCACTTCCTCTAAGTCCCCCTTCCCTCATGGTTCTGGGTTATTTTTCAGGAGGGTTATATATCAAGAACATAAGGCTGACATCCATTTTCCTGTTGCCACTTCCAAGATCACTTTCAATGTATGCTTTTCTAAAATTAAATTAAAACAAAAGCTACCAGGCTATCGCTCAGGCTAACATGCCCTTCCTGTTTTATTTCCATAGTAAATTTTCCTAGTCTACTCTGTCTCACTCATTATCTTTCCCTGCTCTACCTACTATAAACAACACTGAACCACAAACAGTGGGCTCACCTGGAAGACCTTATAAAAGTCAGAGGGAAACTCAGGAAGGGTGCTGCGACCCTCAGAGATTATGCACTTCTTTTTATGACTCCTTGTCCCCGTTTTAAGAAAAAAAAAAATCATACCTTGTGGCTTAGACTGGCCTTGAACTCGTAGCCACAGCACACTAAGTGCTGGCATTACAAGTGTGAACCAGGAAGCCTCATGAGAAGCTATGGAGGACTTTAAAAGGCAGAGCTTCTTCTGCCAGCAAGTCCTCTACAGCCCTGATCTCATTTCTGCTCTGGCATTTTGCCTGATTTTTCTTAATATCTTTTGTTCCTTCTTACCCTTTGTCTTTTTTACAGAGTCAACTACCGCTCCCCCCCCTTTTTTTTGAAGAAGCAGCACTCACTGACCTCCCCCCAGAAAACCAATCCCACATGATTGTTAATAAAGTAATAATTAATAATGAGGCCTCCCAATAGAGTGAGTTCTGACTGGCCACTGATTCTGTGTTCTCCCATCTCAGCCTTCCAAGCAGCTGAAATTAAAGGTCCATATTCATCTTCTGCCTCACCAGTGGACCCCTGGGCGGCTCTTGAGCTTCTCAGTTTTCAGTCCTGGCAGTTCTTTTGGAGGACCCACATGACACCACCATGTTCTCGCCTCTGCCCACCAGCAAATGACTTCTAAACCATGGCTCCAGCTTGCACTTCTTGAGTTGATCCACTCAACATCTTCTCTTAGATGTCTTAAATACATTTCAAACCTAAGAAGTAGGAAGTTACATTGGTAACCTCTTCCTGGTAGCGTATGTCCTGATTACTCAGCCAGAAACACAGTGGAGAAGAGTATTATTTTTAATTATTAAATGAGTTTCCAGTACTACTAGCATACAGAACAACGGGATTAATGGCGTGTATCCATTTCCATGCTCTGATGCTGTTGGTTGTCCCCAGTTCCTTCCCTATTCCTGCTCCTCCTCTTGGTCCCTCTTCTGCTTTCATGTCATATGTATTCTCTTATCCTTTTATTTTCTCTTCTCACCCCCACAGCCCAAAAGCTCCTTTTCCACTCTCATGATCCCCTTTCCAGTTTCACGTATCAGAATCAAAATCTAGGATATACGTGAGAGGGGACACGAGGTATTTGTCCTCCTATGCCTCCCACTCTTAACATGACAGGCTCCCATCCACACACAGGTTGGGATTTCAGTTTTCTTTACAGTCCAATAAAATTCCATCGTGCACACACACACCACATCTTATTTATCCATCCACATGTTGGTGGGCAGCTGGCCTGGGTCTACTTCTTAGCTGTTATGACTGAGAGTCCTTCAGATATGTGCACAGAAGCAGTATAGCTGGTCAGACTGTGTCTCTGCTTTTAGTTTGTTGGGAAACTACACACAGAGTTCCATAGTGGCTGGACCAGTTTACACAACCACCCACAGTGATTAAGGGTTCCTCCTGGTCCACAGCCTCACCACCATTTGTTTGCTGGATACATTCTTTTCCCTTGTTGTCATGTTTCCTCTCCTGTCACATCTTCCCCCAAATCTATTAAACACATCAAACTTCATCCCCATCTTCACCATCACTTTCCTGACTCCCAAAAGGCACTTTATTGTTCTCCGGTGGTTAACCGCTTTATTCTCTGGTGAGTGTTCCCTCCTCCGTTATCATCTCTGCTCTCTCTTCTCCCTCATACCCATTGCTGTGTCATTGGATTTACACCTTGACCACTTCATCAGTGTTCCAAAGACTCTCTCTTCATCCATTCTGACACTTCTCCCCAGTGTCAGAAGTTTTACCTTATTTCCCACAGTGGCTTTTTCCGCGAGACAGCAAAAATATCATCTTTCAAATTAAGCCTTTAAAAGCTTCCTGCTGCCAACAGAATGAAACCCAATTTCTTCATCAAGGCTTTATGGTTTGTTCCTCGATTTCCTGAATATCCATTCCAGCTTTTCTTCCCCAGTCCTACAAGACTGCCAACAAAAGCTCCACTCTGATCAGACCAGACTTAGCACCTCTCCTCCATTGTCTTTATACCCTTGACACCCCTAAGTTTTTCCTTCCCATCTTCCTGACGTCTGAAAAGGGAAAAAAAAATCTATTGTCTACTGCAGAGATACAGTAATGTGGGAGCGAAATGTATACGCCTAGCCTTCCCGCCTCAACTTTGTAGGATTTCTAACGCCTTCCCCTCTAGAAGGCTCTCCAGTCGCTGTATGTATCTATCAGCTCACAGTAATTCTTTGCCATCAATTAGATGACTCAACTCTAGGAGGAGCCCAGCTCTTTGTCTGGTAAATCTTGATGTCTGGCTACAAGGAATTTGCCTAGGATAACCTGGCCTCACACCCCCTTGAAGGCTGGAAAACAGGTACGGGCTGCACACTGCCCTAACCCGAGAACCTCGGAAGTCGGCTAAGACAAGGAGCCACTGCGTCCTGCGTCATCACGCGCCCGGAGTGGGTGGGGCCCTCCTGGGAGCCGCGAGGGGCGGGGCCGAGCAGGTGGGGCGGGGCCGCGGGGCGGAGCTGCGCGGGGTCGCGGCTGCGGAGGAGCCGGTGCGCGGCGGGCGGCGGCGCGTGTGTGCGGTCCGGTCGACGCTCGCAGCCCACCCGCGCCCAGGGGAGGCTCAGCGCGGAGCGGCGGCACGGACGGACCGGCGGACGCACCCGGGGGCGGCGGCGGCGGCAC